ACGGAGCTGGTCTCGGCACGCTCAGTGCCTTGCACACCCAGTGTGTCCTTGCAGAGGAAGGAATGTGCGGGCATGTGTGGGGCGGCCCAGTTTGCCCCAGGCTCTCACCCTTGGGTTGGACTCAACCCATTCCATGGGGAAGCTGATGGGAAACCAGTGTCTGAAATGCTGAGACAGCAGTGGTCTGCTCACAGCCCTGGTCTTGTCAGTGGGTAAAGGGCTTAAAATGTGCTGTCTTTAGAGCATGACCAAAAAGTGAATCAGTGTTGTCCACTACCAGGGCAGAGGATCCCAGCTAGACCCAAAACAAGGACTTTCGTTCCTCGGTGTGTTGCCCAATGTAACATAGAATCATAGAATAATTAGGGTTGGAAAGGATCTTAAGATCAGCTAGTTCCAACCCCCTGCCATGGATCACAGAATAGCTTGGGTTGGAAAGGACCTTCAAAGGTCATGTAGTCCAACCCCCTGCAATACCCTCATATGTTACTGAAATGCTGTTAATTTTGAGCCCAGTTTGCCAAAGCACTTATGCAAGTGACTAAGTGAGCAAGCCTTCTAAAACTGATTTACATCCATTCATCAGACATCCTGCTCTGTCAGCTGTAGGCAGTGTTTGCTTCCCAGCCTCACTCATCCCTCAACAGCAACATAAATAGATGGGGAGTACACTGTGCTGGCATTGCGCGCACAGACTAGTGTGTGGGTTGTTATTCTTATGGTATATGTGCGCTCTGATGAAGGAACTATACCACTGGGATGCAGAACTGGGAAAGTTTGGACTTAAATTGCATTCTCCATTGGGATGTTTGTCTTCTAGAGTCACCCACAGAGCTCAGCATGGAGGACCAATGCTCTAGACCAGGTCCTGCTAGCTGTGCAAGGATCAGGGAACCTTATCTTCACCCTAAAACTGATTTAAAACTCTGGTCATTTCAACATCCTTAAAAGCCTCCTTCTGGCTTTCAGCTCACTAGAACCGAACAGTGTGACCTGAAGAAGAAGAATGTGAAAACCAAAATGAGTTGTATCCAGCTGCCACTAAAGTCCGTGGGATTTAGACACTCTTTTGTCCAAAAAGGTGATAGAGCTCCATACATGTTTAGAGGAAAGTTTCTCAACCATTTTTAATGGGCTTCCTGATACCATTCCACAGAACATCTTGTGTTATTTCTTTTAAGAACCTGAACAAAGTAGTATTTGCACAAATAGGAACTAGACTAAATTTTGAATGTTCTTTATTTCCCCCCCAACACACACTCTTTGTTTCCTTATCTGCATGAGTGTATATTTGCTGGTTCTTTTTCCTGGCCATGGACTAATGTCCTTTGAGCCACAAAAGATTTGCAGGTCAAATAATATTTCTCTATATCAGTTACTAGCAAAAGCTGGAAAGAATGAAATTCCTTCCCTGTGAGGATCCATACATTGTATAGGAGCCTGAAGCAGATAGATGACTCTATAGAGTGTTACAGCCTTCAGGCTTTCAGATTTATACTGCTCTAGTGGAAGGTGTCCCTGCCCGTGGCTTGGGACTGGATGAGCTCTAAGGTCCCTTCCAACACAAACAATTCTGACTCTATGATTCTATTGCAACAGTATCTTTCTCCTCAACCAATCACAAGAAATTTGACTGTCAGAATCCTGTAAATCTGAGGCACTTTCAGATGATTTGTCCTTCATGAAGAAACAGGAGAACAACAATCATTGGGTTTAGGTGGTCCTGAAGTTTGCTGCCCTGTGAAAACACGCTGAGTTCATCTGCACAAACCAGACCAGATTACAAAGAGTGATTAAGAAACCACAAAGCTAGCTGAAGAATTGCAAGGATTTGAAAGCAAAAGGCCTTCCTCAGCCCCGAGAAGATGAAGAAGTAAACATTTCCCACATCTCTTCCTTGCAGCACTGCCCCTTATCAGGAGCATTCCAGCCTGCCCTGTTTGTCACAGGAACCGGCCGGAGCGGGAGCGCGCTCGCAGCCGGTGGAGTGATTCAGTGGTGATGGGGAAAGGCAGGTGGAGCAGGTAAGTCACCTCTGGACAGGAAGGTATAAAAGATACCTGAATTACAGCAGCAGGGCCACTTGTACACAGATCTACCGTGCTGGAAACAACCCAGGAGGCAACCGGGGAGCTGGGAAACCAGAAGGCAACTTACAATACAAGACCCTAAGACTATCCTCTGGAGAGAAGACTCTTCAGGGGTAGAAACCAAGAGCTTGGAACATGCTTTTCTCCTCCTAAGCAGCACTCGGAACAGGTATTTATGGACTTTAATCTGCTGTACTCCTCTTAACTCGCTGTGTAGTCAGTGGCTCTGAAATACAGGATACCATTAGAGAATCATGCTACATGGTCACTGTCATAACTGCGTGTTCTCCTTCATCTGGCTTTATGGTGTGGAAAGAAGCTTCCTAGAAGTTGTTGGGAAGTAAAAAGGAATCATAGAAGCATTTGAGAATCATACTTAGTTTTAAATCCAGGTTTATGTCTCTCTCCTGGATGGTCTAGTTATTTACTGATGTTCCCAAGGTTTTTGGAAAGCCCAGGTAAATAGCTGGGAAAGTGAAGGGAAGAGGTGCAGGACTAAGGAATTGAAGTGTGACCAGGGAGGTCTGAACATGTGAAGATACTGTTCTGTATTTAAAATATAAATAAAAATAATATGATTGGGTAGTACAAAAACCCCCAAACCAACAGAAAACCAATCAAACCCCCAAATCCTACCTAATTGTGTTGAGATTCCATACTGCATGTGTTAATTGGTTTATTTCCTAATAATAAATACATAATAATGTGGATTTCCCTTCCCTGCCAGTGTTCAAGGCCAGGCTGGACAGGGCTTGGAGCAACTTGGTCAAGTGGAAGGGGGTTGGAAGTAGATGAGCTTTAAACCACCCTAAACCAGCCTGTGCTTGGGATTCTGCAGTTTTAGTGAGCCTTGGCTCTATACTCTTCATATCTTCCCAGTTTAAGTCTACCTGCATCATCTCTGATCAAGGTACCACATAGCACCAAGATAATAAAAATAAGTAGACCGTAAATTTATTAGAACTAAAATAGTGTCACCATGATCTTTAACAGAGGGAAAATGTGAACAAAAGCCCATATCTTCATTTCAAAGCGAATATTGTGAGTAAACTTCCTCAAGCTTTACTGTCAAGATAAGGCTGTTGCTACAGCTGTCAGATTACAACCCAGTAAAACCCCCAACAGAGCAGCTTTGTAAGATAGGTTATGAGATTACAGTTTCATAAGCAAAGGCTCTCTCTGAGGTTCCCTTCTGCCACTGGTGGTGCTGTTTATTTTGTACAAGCACTCCAAGCTGAGGCACCGCAAAGAACTGGGTGTAGGGGATGGAGTTCTGCAAACCAGAAGATTTAGTGGGGAAAAAACAGCCACAAAACTTAGGGGGTTCCCTTACTTCTGTGCCAACTTGGCTTTGGAATTCATCAGCATCTGCCACATTGTGCTAAAACATGCACAGTGATCTTTAGTCAGAGGAAAACTGCATTAAAGAGACATTACGACATGCTGAAGGATGCAGAGAATCTGTGACTGGAGGAGAGGCTTCGTAGGAATGGCTGCACTTAGAATAAGAGAAGAAGGAAGGTTCTTAGAGCTGGTTTCAGCTCTGGCAGCGTGAGCTGTGATGGGAGAACACTTTGTGCAGTATAAGGAATACACAGTCTTTCTGATACCTTAAATTAGCCTTGAATGCAGGAATGTGGAGTCTCTGGCCCATGCTGGTGAGCCACTGCCGGATAATGGAGCCCTATAATTACAGCAGCAATCGGAACCTTTTGGCTTGTCATGGCTAAATCTCCCAACCCAAAGAATCAAGCCCAGCTGGTTCAGTGACACAGCCGACAGGAATGGTCCCCAGGCACGCAGCAGCGGGCTGGGAATTTCCTCCAGCCCAGCGCTTGTCATGTAGAAATGCTCAATAGCAGAGAAGTCCCATAGCTGAGCCTCGGAACGGCTGCAGAGCTGCGTGTCCAGCCCAGGATAACTCCAACTGGTGTATCAGCTCCTGCTTGCATGCCGTGACAGAGCAGAGAGCACGTGGCAGCGCAGAGCAAGGCTTGGGCTGTGCTGGCACTCCCTGGGGGCTGAGGACAAGGAAGAACTGTGTTACTTGAGGGAAACCAGAGCAACAAGGAAACAGTGGAGAATTCCCCTTGCTCCCACACCAGGGCCATTTCCTCCGACATTGCTTTTCTTGCTGTGTCATGGTGACAAGTAGAGATGCTCCTTGTGCTTTTTGAGGCCGAGGATGCGCTAACCTGTGTCCTTCCTTCCCTTGGGTTCCCCAGTGAGACGAGGGAGCTCAATCCCACTGTGGATACACAAAGCCAGGCAGCATCACTGAGAAGTGCCTCACCTCCTACAGCCATGATCCAAGGCACAACCTCTATGAGCACACCAGAGAGAAGAGGTTCACCCCCCTTGCTACCTCCACAACTGAATAGTGTTATCTGTCTCTTAGGCCTTGCCCATGCTGCCACCATAATATCTGAGTGCCTCCCAGACTAATAGACTGCCATAGCGAGGTCCCTACTTGACCTCATGGAGTCTTCTGCTCTCCTCCCTGCTCAGGTATCGGGGAGCACCAGCCGGGGTAGGTTCTTGTTGTGTTTTTATCTGCCCAGAGGGAGGCATGGACGGGGAAAGACTGCACCCATCTATCATGCCATGGTGGTGCTGGTGGAAAGGCTTTGGCTGGATGGTGGATCTCTGCTGGTTGCTTGCTTCTTTGGAGGACGTTTATCTTCACCTTCAGTAACAGCTTTGACCAGGCTACCTGTGTCATTCTCACCTCTAGCAGGGATCTGTCCCAGGCTCAGGATGCAGTGGAAGTCATCAACTTGCTCTTGGTTTCTTTTAAGGGGTTAAACACAGGTGTGGTGATGGACGTCTTCACGTTGTTTAAAATGAAGGCTGTGGTTTTCTTCTCTTCTAGAGTCTCCCAGGGCTCTCTTCATTTCCCCGGGCACCGTCATGTCGTGCTTCACGCAGCTGTGGCATTCCAACACGGCAGAGTCTCCCACCAGCCCAGTCCCCGCATCTCCAAACGAAATCCCCATCCCCATCAGCCCCATTATTGTCACCTCTCCAGGAGATGGCAAGAGGAAGGCGAGATCCCCAACCGACAAACCTGGCTCTCCGAACCCAACGTCTCCGAAGCCAACCTCCCCTGTTGAGTGTTCCATTTGCTTCAACACCTACGACAACACCTTCAAGACACCCAAACTGCTCCAGTGCTCCCATGTTTTCTGCCTGGAATGCGTGGCCCGCCTGAGCACGGGGTTACCCCCAAACCAACCAGAGGACCAGCTCCCCTGCCCCTTCTGCAGGCAGTTGACCAGCATCCCTCTGGAAGGCGCCCCAGCACTGGAGACCAGCAAGGAGCTCCTTGCCACGCTGCCTCCCGAGCTCCAGCAGGAGAAGGTGCTGTGGATGGAAGGGACCAAACTCTGCTGCCGTCAGTCATCCGACGACCCCGAGAATCCAGACTCGTGTGTCTCCATTGACGTTGCCATGAGCAAGCCAGAAAGCCCAGAGGCCCCCCCAACAGGGTTAGCTGGGAGGCTGTCCCGTTGCGACATGTGTGATGACTGGAAGCGCATAGTCCTCCTCTCCGCCTTGATCATCATCCTGTTCTGCATCATTCTGTGGCCAGTCCAGTGCGCCCTGAAGACAGGGAACCTCCGCTGCTTCACAAGGACTGTTGCCATGAGCAGGCCAGAGTATCTGCCCCCCAAACACACCACGGCAGCGACGCCAGTGACACAACTCCCTTTCCAGTAGCAGCAAAGCGGCTCCTCGCTCCCATCTAGCAGCACATCACGAAGGCAGGAACAGGGCTGCTGCTCCAGCAGCATTCCTTGGTGCTGGAAGACCCCATGGCCCGCTCTCCACGCTCTATGTTGAACACATGCATTCACTGTCAGGAGCTCCACTGAAATACACCCCTGACAAGCTGTCTCCAGCCCAGGAATGCTCCAAGGAGCTGCTGCAGCATCCTGCTGCCAAAATCCCTATGGAAAGCAGAGCTCTGGAAGTTTCTGGGGCTGTTTGCCCAGTGCATCATCCTGACCGGACACCAGATGACAGTGGGTGCAGTTCCTCTAACTCTCTCAGGGAATAAAGGGCTGTTTCTGCAAACTGAAGGATCTACATGATTATTCCTAAGAGGAGCTGGGATTGGGAAGGTAAAGACCTGTCAAAGGCATATAAACAGATGAAAATCGTCCTTATGCCACACACTTGAAACGTTTCCCTTGGGTCGTTCCATGTTGGAGGTGTAAATGCTGCCTCCTGCTGACCAAACACGGATCTGCCACCGCCACCCACCACCTCAGTTGTGTTACCATCCTGATGAGCTTGGGAATGGGACAGAGTGCCCGTTCTCCTCAGTTTTCCTTAAGAAGACGCTTAAAAATCACTCATTCCTACCTGGAAATCAACTTCAAACATGGGGGGGGGGGACGGGGAGACACGTTTTTAGGCACCCTGACATAGCAACACAACCCTCCTTCAAGTTAATTCATCAGCAAACTTCATTCATGCTTCTCACAGGCAAACTGTTGCCAAAATGACAGAAGCTTTACCCTCCTAATCATCAAATGTGTCAGTATTAAGACACAGGCCAGTTGCTTACACTATATTTGTATTTAATGCAGTGATCTGACAGTGATTAAAGCCTTCATGATGAAGGCAACTTACAATTAAATGTTTTCTATTCCAGCACGTGGATGTAAGACAGTATTGTATGCAAGTTCCATACATGTATGTATTAAATTATGTTTTATACAATGCAAGGTGTCAATCTGTAGCAATTACTCCACATTTCCCTTCTTACTTGCAGTTGGAGGTGGTCACGTAGGAGTCCTGAGTCCACCTGCATTCCCAGATCATGGAGCTACACAGCAAGTGGCGTGTCTGTGTTGTACAGTCCAGCTTTATCCTGTAAATTCACACTTACCATCTCCATGGTGCTGCCCCAGGTCCCACATCCCTCTGTGCTTACCTGATTTCGACCTGGAAAATGAGAAGCTGCAAAGACTGCTCATGTTCTGCTCCTTCCCAGCGGGGGGTAAGGTGCTCCCAGTCTCCCTTCCCAGGAACTCTAATTTGGAGCAGAAAAGGCTGAAGCAAGAGCAGAAATAGCTCACGTCTGTTGCTGTGCAAACCCTCGGTGGGAAGCTGGATCTGCACCACCTTTGTTGTTCAGCTACAGGCTGGTGTTACTGTGCCTGCAGACACCACTCCAGGCACTGTCACAGCTTCTGCCACAGGCATTGGGCTTCACAGGGATTCTCACTTGGATCCTCCTGGCCATTGCCACTGAAAGGCTGCTTCACAGCACCAGTTGATGTCTGTTCTTGGCTGAAAGGGACTCAAGGCTTAAGGCAGAAAAAGCACTTCCAGTCTCCCCAGGTGCATCTGAGACCAAGCCCAGCAAACAGACACTAAAGAGATGAAATGCTTTGTCACTACATCTTTGTACCGTTCAGCTCCCACTGATGAGGCAGGGGAGAGGGAAATAACATCTCCAGCCTCCTAAAATCTATTGTTATGGTGGTAAATAGGCCACAGAGATGTTCTCACAGTACAATGTTCCTAGTAGTTTGTCACAGCATCCGTATGGATGTCCCTTGGCACTTCCCCTTCTCCCCATGTACTTGGAAACCAAGGTTGAAGGCTTAGCTAACAGGCAGCTGAACCTCTCCCTTGTGCACAGTCGAGTCAAAAGAAGTGAAAGAGAAGTGAAAAAGTGAAAACAGGGCCCTCAACAGTAGCACTTGGTGATGGGAGAGAGCAGAATACCCCACTGTCCACAGCAGCCGTCAGTCACTTCCCCAAAGAAGGAAAAAGCCTTGAGAATATTCAACATTTATTAAAAGTGCAATAAAAAGAAACAGTTCTTCTGCCCTTGTGACAAGGGAGCAGAAAGACCAGCCAGGAAATACAGCCAAGGTGTATGTCATTGTGCTTTGCTTCAACGCTTGGAGCCGGCACTCCAGGCACTAACACACGCAGCAAGTCCATCCAGCTCCAGACCCAGGAGGACACCAGCACATGCTCTGGAGGTTCAGGCACCAGCACTCAGCCCTAGGGCTCCCTATGGCATTGGATACTGATGAATCCTGCGGGAAGGGGTTCTCTGGCAGGACTATTTGCTGGCTTTAGGGCTGGAACAGCAGGAAGCACTGGCAGTCACAAGTCAAGACTTACCAGCAGGAGCTGGAATACTCCACTCAGTAACACACTCGTCTTCATGGCACTGGTCAAGTCACAAACACTCCTACAACACCCCTACTCAGCAGACACAACACTTGCCTTGTCATATAGTTGAAGGAGGGGGAAAAAGAGGTCATGCAGAGCTGCATCAAGCTTAGAGGGGCCCAGCTCAACAGGTTCAGCTCAGGTTATCACCAGAGGCTGTTCCACACTAGGGGTGGTTAGAGCACAGCACGCAGCCAGAGCTGCTTTCTACTCTTCAGCACCCTTCAGCTAGGTGGGATTTCACATCCAGACCCCCCCGAGGATGGAGATGCTCATCGCTGCCTCTCAGCTCTGCTATGAAACCCACACGCAGAGCAGCTTGTGGGCTCTCAGGCACACACACACGTGCATCTGCTGTACTACAGCAGCACAGCAGGGGCTGCTCGGTGTGCTTTGGCAGGGTTGCATAGACATCTACAACTGGTACAGCCAAAAGGAAGTGTGAGAAGGAGAATCCACAGAGATGCAAATATCCAGGGCCAGGCAGCGCTCTCTGTTTCTCTCCCTTTCTCACAGGCAGCAAAGTTACTCCAGGATTTAGTCTAGAAACACTTCTAAGCTTAGAAATGATTGACCTAATGAAAACATTAAAGTGTACTAACGTTTTACTAACACCCTAAGTGGGCAACCCTGGGAAAGCTCCTAAGCAAATAGTCATTTCCATTCCTTTGAACAATTTGTGTGTAAAAAATAAGAATCTTAAATTAAAAAACAAATAAGTAAAACTGAGCCTTGATGCCCTAATGAATGTCCAGAGGCACTTCCACATAAATATCAACCTACTGCTCCAGGGGACAATGGGAGAAGATCCTTCTCATGAATAAGTTAGGTCAAGGCATGTTCATAGGTGCAGACTCTGCTTGCTTCTTAGTCAGCTTCTTGCTTCCTCGCTGAATCCAAGGTGCTTGGGAAGGCAAGAGACTGCCTGCAGCCGCGGGACTTGGAAAGGGTGGACATAAACCCTGTAAAACCTGCGTTCCAAAACAGGGCAGAAGGGTGGGATGGGTTGTAACGGGGAGACACGCGACAGAGCGAGGTCTCTCCTACCAGCACAGTCTTGTTCTGCACGTCTGGCAGCTTCCTGACAGAGCAGCCCAAGAGCAGATCTCCCCCCTCACTGCTGGTGTAAATGTGCTTCCCCCTGTTCCCCCATCTGGCCACAGCCACATCTTTAGGCTCTATCCAGTTCCACCACAGCTCAGCTGCCTCGCTCAGCGCAGGCAGAGCCGCAGAGAGCGGCGCGATGCGCACAGCCCGTGGTGATGCTCAGCTGAGCAGGGGGAGCACTCCTACCTGTACAGCCTCCACACAGCTCACGCCGGCTCCTTTATCGCCCCGTGTTACTCATCCCTGAAACCTTGGGGCTTTTGATGTTCAGGTTCTCGTAGACGGAAGCTGACTCATCATCAACCCTGTCAAGAAACAAAGCCTTAATACCAGCAGCCTCCCTGCTCTGGGGCAGGTAACGGCCCAGCCAAGCTCCCTTTTCCCTCCCCAGCCTTGTGGATAGGATGACATCAAGCTTCCTGCTGTTCTCAATCCCTGTTTTCTCTCCCGCTGGCTGGGACACCCATCTTAGGTTCAAATGCAGCTTGGGAATGAGCCTTGCACCTTCCTCTGCATCAGCCTTTCATGGATGCAGAGTTTATGCTGGAGCAGTGGATACAGATCCTGGTATTTCCTACTTTCTCTACACAGCCAATTTGAACGGATCTAAGTGAAGGAGAGGGCTGCTCCAAAGGCCAGATCCAAGTACCTCTAAAGGAGGTTTGATGCCCAAAGCTGGACTCATAGGAGCGAATATGGGACATCTCCTTTAGCCCTCTTCTCAGTTGGATCTTCCATTCTGCATGAGCTCAGCAACAGCTTTTCTGCCTCCACTTTACCACCCACCCCTGCTCCTGCCCAGCCATCTCTCCTTTCAGAACCAACCCTGCAACTCAAAGTGCCCAAAAGCTCTGATTTTATATAGCTGACATACGGCCCTACCCACTCTCCTTCAACTTATGACCCCCTCTTCATCACTCACTGCTGTCCCATCACTTGGGGCAAGAGGAAAACACATCATCTGGGGTATTTTCTCTCTTCTTATGTAAGGAACTCATGCTACTTAGCACATGGGTGCGAATCCACCTCCCTCTGCTCTCATCTTCCTTCACATTCTGCTGTAAGAGATGCTCAGTGGCTGTAGCACAGTTTTTAGCTGATTCTCCAGAGGCAAAGGTATGGGGCTCTACTCATTAAAGGCTGGGACCTGCTTCCTCCCCTCCTTTCCCAAAGCATAGCACACAAGCAAGGTGGGCTGCTACCACCACTGTGCTGGGATCACCTGGTTGGTTTTAGCCATTCCCATAGGATGCCAGCAACTGGTTAGGTGTCAGGTATGGGAGAGACAGGCTGGCAAAGGATAAATACTTCACTCAAGCTGTTCTTTCTACTGACAAAGTTCTTATCCCTGGCAGGGAGATGTTCAGCTTACACAGTGTGGGTCCGTGGTGAAGGGGGCTGCCCCTTGGCTCTGCCCTTTTCCATGGGAGAGTAGCCAATATTCAAGTAGTCCCGCTCTTTCCTTTTACTCCTCTGAAAGAGAAAGCAAAGACCATAGCATCCCACTCCTAGAAGAAAACCTTACAATGTCCCATATGCCAGCAGGGAACATGGCTTATTCCCACGTCTTCAGGGCAGGATTTGAGCTCCAGGGAGAAGGTGGAAGTGATGCTTGGTGAGGCCAAGTTCTGCCCTGGCTTTTCCAACCCAGCTGCATGGGACTTACCTGTTCTTCTTCCAACCTCTTCTGCTCGGCTTCAATGTACTGCTGCACAGCCATGTAAACAAACTTGTACTGGGCCTCCGTCTGCACCATCCCCGAGCGCTGCCGACGCACCATCTGGATGGTCTTGGGGATGTCGATGTCACAGTCCAGCCCTGCTCGGGAGGGACAAGGGCACCTTCAGGGAGCGGGAACTTGCATGGTTTAGGCACTAGATACAACCACTGACGAAGATACCATTGCTGAAGAGCATGAGCCTGCCTCAAGGCTTCTAGACCATGCCCAGAGATACCAGAGAGAGCTCTATAACAGCTCTAGGCTCTCAGAAGAGGGTGACAGCCTTTCTACACAGGAGGGTTCAGGGGACTCATGTATAATGGGCTACTGGAGTTACTCTTATCGAGCCTTTTCCCCTCTGCCCTCAGTTACAGAGGGTTGCTCAGGAGACCTTGAAATCCAGCTCCATTGATGCCAATGAGAAGACTCTTCTGTGCTGTGTTGCTGAAAGCATCTCTCTTACTACAGGGCTGTCCACGTGCAAACCCATTTGGAGAGGGTTCCTGTGTCATTATGTCCATTTCCAGTCCCATGGAGAAACAGGGAGCTGGGCATCATACAAAAACCCTTCTCACCCTGCATCTATGCTAAGCCTATGCCCACTGTTTCCCAGAGAAGTCAAACCCACTGCTTGGAGACCCTGTATCCACAAGAGCAGGGTTACCCCACAACTAGTCAGAGCAAGGCAAACAGTGAAAACCACTGATAGACATGGAGACATACCTTGTCTGTGAATAATATCCACCAGAATATCTATCACTATGATGGTGCCCGTGCGTCCTATTCCAGCACTAGAGAGGGAGAAGAATAAAATCAGTGGAAGGTGTCCCTGCCCTTGGCAAGGGGTTGGAAGTGGATGAGCTTTAACGTCCCTTCAACCCAAACCAGGCTGGGATTCTGTGATAAGCCCAGCACAATGCTGAGCCTTAGAAGAAGAGGCACATTCCCGTTACCCATCCCCACTGCAATGCCCCACTGCCAGCCCCCTGGTCCGTACCTGCAGTGCACTATGATCGGCCCCGTGTCTGGAATGCTTCGCTGTGCCCGATTCACTTGGTCCAGAAAGCTCAGAACCCCCCCAGGCTCATTGGGCACCCCGTGGTCTGGCCAGCTGAAATACTGATAGTGCTTCACCAGCCTCGGGCGCTCATCCTGCAGGGAGCAAACCCGCCAGGTCACAAACCCTCCTCTGAGGCGTCTCCTTCCTTCCTCTTTATCAACGCTGGGCAGTGTGGCCCAGCAATGGGACCATTATAAGCACCCAGCAAGCAGACGGGAGAGCCCCGTCTCCCTCGCCGTGGTTGCGCAGTGGGCAGACAGCAGCAGCACTCACCCTGTCGGTCCTGAGGATCTCCAGCTCCCGCAGGTAGTAGCCCTGGGCCTCCCGCTCGCTCGCGTTCCGCACGCAGATGCACCCGTACTCCTTGGTGCAGCTCTTGTCTGGCCAGTAACGGAAGCACTTGTTCTGCAGCGACACCAGGTAACACCATCAGTTGACACGGGGGAGCTGGAGGGTGCAGCCCCAAGCACCTTGCTCAGGGGTGCTGCTGCGTGCCAAGGGCAAGCCACAGCGCAGAGGTTTAAAGGAGAGCCACACACACCCAGTGCTTCCTTTGTACCAGAAAGGACACGATCCCGAGGGGAATCTCCCTCCTTAGTTAGCCCAGCCTCAGGTATTGCTTTGCCAAAGGCATAGACTTAGCACACAGCACTGAGCTGTTGGTCTGATCATTGCCTAATTCCTGAGCCAGACCTTCATCCCAAGGGGCTGCAGCTCAGCCTATAACCCTCCTGCACTCCAGCACATCCCTCTCTGCTATGGTGGCTTTGCCAAGACAAAAGGCAGCTTGTGAGTGGAGCCATCTCTCACCTCTGCACTGGGCTGCTGCAGTCCCAGCCTCCCTCTCATTGCAAACCAAAGCCACTAGTGCCAACCATAATGAATTAGCTCCTCTCTCCACTACAAAAGGCTGTGCTAGTAAACAGCTCCGAGTGGTATTTCACTGTATTCCTTGGCCTCTACCAACCCACCCTGGGTGAAATGCATACAGGTGGTACACAGGTTGTACAATTACTTTTATGCTTCACACAGCTCAGAACCCTCCTCCTTGCTTCCCAGCTTGCTGTAATGAGCACGATGCTTTCTCTCTGCAACCTGCAATTGCCCTGAAGACATGGGAATAAACCCATACCCCCTTGAAGCAAGTCATGAGGGACACCCCGTTAGCAGTTATGGGGCTGTGGAGACTGTGGTACATTTCCTTCATGAAGAAGAGCTAAAGCAACATCACAAGAGAGCGGAGAAATGAGATGAAAGTTAACCAGAGACACCTCAACACTTAGTACCAGCAGCAGGTAACCCTCAGGCTCGGTGGCAGCACCCTACAAGCACTCACCCTGCCCCGCTCCACCTCCTTGGTTGTCATTACAATGACGTGACTGTTCTCTTGATACACCATGGCCCAGAAGTCGTTCACTGTTGTCTGCAGGCAGCCCTGGGTGGCTATATAGATCTTGCAGTGCTCCGAGTTCTTTCCATCTTCAGGGATGCTCTGAGGAACAAGAGGGAAAATGAAGCCAATGATGCTGGAGTGAGGAATGAGAACTGCTTTAGTGCATCTGCAGAAGGTCAGGTGGATGGGGCTGGAATAAGGTTTCCCAAAGGCTGGTGCTTAAGTGCCAGAGCAGCACTGCTGGAAATACAGCTTCAAGCAGCTCTTAGCTTACAGATGATGGTTATAATTTAACCTCAGAGATAATGTTCAATGACAGAGGCTGGGTCAGGACCTATTTAAGAGGTGTAGGAAAGGAGGGGATTGAGATAAACTCTTAGATAGGAGCAAGTAAGACACGATAGAATGATGCGATCCCTTGGGATACACTAGAAAACCACAGTGTTTGGTCTGGACCCAGCGAAAGACACTGGTCCTGACAGGCCATCCCCTCAGGATTTAAACCATCAGGACAACCCCAACACGTTTCCTTCCCTTTCCCAATACCTTGATGTAGTTGGCATTGATGTAGTCGGACCCAGGCACGCTCTCATCCACGTCTCGGAGAGCCACCCGTGTGGTATCAACTGCAGAGAGTCCAAATGAACACAGGAGAGAGTCACACACACAGGGCAGCCCCTGTGCCCCCAGCAAGGGCTCAGCCATGCACACACACACGGGTAACTGCTGCAAAAGAGGGTGTAAGATGCTCTCCTGGTAACACTTAGTGGCACTTCGACACTACCTGGCTCACGGTGCTGTGGCCAATCCAGTAATCTGGGTGGACATCAGTGACCTGCAGTGCTGCAACTAACCTGAGCTCAAGTTTTCCACTATTTCCTTTAGAAGCTCTGGCTCCATACAACTTCCAGGCTGCTCTGAAGCACGTTTGAACTCACAGCACAAAGAGAGGAGAGCAACCTACCAGTTTCCCATGCAAAAGGGAAGGACCAGGTTAGAAAGGGGATGGAGAACACTACGAACTAACTGGACCACTCCACTAGGACACTGTGCATCTCTTCCCAGCTCAATCAGCAAGCTCTGCAGGGTTAACTAACCCCCCAAAAGGCTAGTTTTTACCACTAGAAACTGTGGTAAAACCCCCAAACCACTATTCAGTGTCTCCTTACAGGGAAGGATGTTCTTATAGCGATTCTTTGCCTTGTTCTCCGGTCGTTGTCCCTCCTTCCTGGGGTAGAGGAGCTTGCACTCTTGCTGCTGCAGCATCTGTGGGGCAGAACACAACGGAACAAGGTGTTTTGGGCAGACAAGGGGAGTCAGAGGCAAAGGGAGGGCTCCTTGGAAGAGCTGCTTGGCTTCCTAAAGCAGAGAAGAGCAGAGGGAGCGGTGGCAGGAAGAGGACTTCAGTGCTGGGAAACAATGACATTCCCATGCAACTATGATGTTCTTCACCCACAGACACAAATAGGACAGAGCACAGGAGCATCTGGTACCTCAAACTCCTCCCAGAACCCTTGCTTGGCCTTCTCACTGTGGTCTGCCATCTTGTTCAGCTCCTTCACTCTGTTCTCAATGTTAGCGGCGTTGATGCGCGTGGCGTTGAATGGCTGAAAGACAGATGGAGACAGAATTGAAACCACTTTCAATAACAGAAAGACAGATAAATTTCCCCTTGAATGGACTCAATTCCTGCCAATGCCCCCAGGGATTCCCACTGGCAGCAATTGGGTCCATTCCTGAGGCAGGGCCAGGGACCTCTCTGGCCAGCATGAGCCTGGACAAGCATGGCAAGCAGCCCATGGGATGTTCTGGGAGCAGGGAGTTCCCAAAGTGCAGATCCCCAGGAGCGTGGGCAAGCACAGAACCCACAAACACGTGCTAGAGCAGCTATTACCTGCTTCAGATGAACCACAGCGCCCGATTTCTCCACCATGGGGTTCTTCTTATAGTGCTCCACCAGGTCTGTGAGCGTGTCAAACCTCTCTCCTCCCCCTACATCATACTTCCCATCTGGCTGCAAGAGAAGAGGATAAAACCACAGTGAGATGGGAACACTCCGATCCTGTCTGGGCCACACACCCCATGCTTATGGCAAGGACAGGGATAGCACATTCCCAACCTGGTAGTGGATCATGACATGGGTCACGTGTGGTTTCCGGTCCCCAGTCTCCATCTTATCCTCATTTGTCAGCACTGAGAGGACAAAGTCTCCCGGTTTGCTCTGGCTCTCCCGCACCAGGAAGCTCCCTGGTTTCCCCTTCTCCGTCAGAAGCTTCTCTGCCTCCTTGCCGGTGAGGTGCCCGTGGTACCACCTACCTGTGGAGAGTGATGGAGAGCAAGGTCAGCTCAGAAATGCACAAATTGCTGCCGTCACTGGCTCATGGCAAACCCACTTGAGGCTCCCAATTCACCTGCTCAACCCACTGGCATGAATCATGGAATGGTTTGGGTTGGAAGGGACCTTAAAGCTCCTCCAGCTCCAACCCCTGCCACGGGCAGGGACACCTTCCAGTAGAGCAGGTTGCTCCAAGCCCCTGTGTCCAACCTGGCCTTGAACACTGCCAGGGATGGGGCAGCCACAGCTTGTCTGGGCACCCTGTGCCAGCACCTCAGCACCCTCACAGGGAAGAGCTTCTGCCTTAGATCTAAGCCCCTCTTGTGCTGTTGGACACAGGGCTGCAGGGGAGGTCTCCCCAGTGTGAAGCAGAGGGGGAGAATCCCTCCCTCAGCCTGCTGGCCATGCTCCTTCTGGTGCAGCCCAGCACATGGGGTGTTTCTGGGCCTGCAGGATCTATATTACATACAGATTTCAGCACTGTTCTCTATGTTCTGGCTGTGCCAGGTGAGCTGTTCCAGTGCACAGCAGCACATCTCACCTACACAGCAGCCACCCGTGGCTCAGGGACCAGCATCCAGCCTTCCATAGATACAAATAACAGCCTGGAGCGAAGCAGAGCTTCAATCCCCAGCCCTCAGCAGTGGCTCTGGGCAGATGCCATAGGTCCCATTCTGAAGGTGCTGGCTCCCGGCCCAGTAGCCAAGCTGCCAGGAATTGAGAGAGGCTCAAAATAACCTTCCCAGGGCCATGCGGTGGCATCACGTCATGTCTGGGCAGCCTTGTCCCAGGGGATGAAGCTTATGGAACAGCAGCCAGTGATGCTGTGATGCCTTTGAGTCCCGACTCAGCATTCTGCACAGGCAGGCGTTACAAGCCTGGCTGGGAAGACCTCTGGAGAGCAAGATTCCTTCTTGCAGGCTTGGGAAGGCATTAGGATCATGGTGGTGCATGAGGGAAGAATGACCCACCTCCAGTGAGGTCCATCAGTGCCTGGTTACAGCACTGCTGCCGTTCACACTCTGGTTTGGACAAAGGCCACCCTGACGTGTCCTGCTATATTCCAACACCATCGTCATTCCCTATTTTTAGAGGACTTGGTCCCTTTCCCCTCCCTTCCCCTGGATGGCACCAGATGTGTGGTCTGGAGCTTCCGTGCCAAGCCAGACTTTCCTTGGCAGGAGAAGAGGGGGAAACCCAGCTAAAGGGGGTTTCCACTTTTCCAGAGGTTCTGCTCACACCAGGGGTTGGGAATGAGCAAAGAAACCTCCCTTGGGAGCACGGGAGCTGGAGGGACTTCCCATTGCCTCACATGATGGCATGGAGGGGAGCACCTCTGCTCCGTTTCAGGAACTGAGACCAGCCTATGTTAAAGTTAGAGCAGTTGGGAGCCTGCTTTGGCATCACGAGGTGTTCCCCTTTCCAACCACCGTGTCACTGCGTGTGACACTGGGGGAACTGAGAGGGGGGCAAAGGAAAATAGGGGTCACTGGAACGTCCCAGAGCAAGGGGAGGAAGGGGGAGGCTGGAGGTAACATCCCCAATCATCCATCCCTGTCCCAGAAAGGCAACAGCGTGTTGCTACAGGGATGAACAGTGGCTACAGAGCAAGATGGGATGGGGAAGGCTCCTTACAGGGCATTTCTACCCAGTGATCTGCAGGCAGACAAGTCACTTGCAAGGTCTTTCTTTTCAAACCAAAGCTATCCCGAAGGATAGACCTGCAGGACCCTTTCCAGACAGGGCTCTGAGTAACCTGATCTAGTTGAAGATGACCCTGCTCATAGAATAGGGTTGGAAAGGACCTTAAGATCATCTAGAAGGGAAGGTTGGACTAGATGAGCTTTAAAGGTTGTTCCAACCCAAACTATTCTATGATTCTATGTTCCCACTTGAGTAAAAGCTAGAGAAAGCTTATTGGCACATGAAGAAGCATTAGCTTCTGGGCCCTGCTGTTATCTACCTGGTCACATCATGCAGCACAGCTGAGAAACCACATCCTAGAGAGGTGCAGCTTTTGGGTCACGAAACCTACCTCACACCCAACACACTCTGCTTCAGGCTCCTTTCCAAACCCAAGCCAGATGCAGAGGGCCTGTTAGAAGGTGCTTTACCTCTCTGAGGTGGGGTCCTGGCAGTTGAGAGGGTACTTCAGCTCGATGACATTGCTGTTCTTCTCCCGCAGCAGCCCTTGCTGCTCCGTGTAGTACTGCACCAGCTCTGCAAGGGTGGCAAACTTCTCCCCTCCATACAGGTCGTAGTAATCCCCTGTGTTCTGGATCTTGATGTGTGTCACCTCATCGTTTCTTCTGAGGAAGGAAAGGCAACAAGACTGTAAGGATGAGGGAACGGAAACCCAGTGCTGGTGCTCAGATGCTGCCCATCACTTCTACAGCAGGGAAGGGATGGATGCTCCTTGGCCAAGAGCTGACTCCACACCTTGCAAGCACTGCTCTGCTTCCCAGACAGCCTCATCCAGAGGAGGTGAGTAACTAACTCCTCCTTTGCCATCCCTTCCACTTTCTACCTTCCTTACCCTCTCCACTGGAGGAGGCTCTGACCTCGCTCTGGTTTACACTGAGCAGTTTTCTATGCAGAAGGGTACTCACTCTCATGTAATCACTTAAGAAGAGGAAAAACATCACCCAAACCAATATATTGCCTCATATTTGCAAACCCTAAGAACTGTTCTGAAAGGGTTAATGCTTTCCCCTCTCCAGCGGTGCCCTCAGGCTCAAGGGAATCTGGATGCCTTTATCAGCCTGTTCCAAGAGCCTCCTCAACCAAAGCCCCTTCTCCTTCCCCAGAAGGCCACACTGACCTGTGAGAGGGAGGTTAATTGCATCTTAAACACACTTAGCAGCAGTTTCTGTGCAGGGTGGATGAGCTTTAGCAGAGAGATCTGGAAATCTGGCCACATTGCTCATGCTTTAACACCAGCACCTCTCAGTTTGTTGCCAAAGCAACTATGACAGTGAGATGCGGGAGACACAAGGTGGTGTAAGTAATGTTCCAGGGAAGAAAAGCCATTTCATGGAGCAGGGAATTAGAAAAACTACAGCGGTCTGAGCATGAGGGTAAATGGAAGGAAGAGCTGGACCACACAGGGTCTCCAGGGCTCTCTGTAGTGGTATTATCCCCCATTCCTGCTACCCTTCTGCAGCAGGGTACAGCCCCCATAGCACTGCAGTGAAAGAACATATCAGGACAGTACTGGATATCTAGCCCCAGCTCCACAAAATCATAGGATCATGGAATGAATCAGGTTGGAAGGGACATTGAAGAACATCTAGTTCCAATGACGCTGCTGTGTACTCCAGGGCAGCCCGTTGGCCAGGCAGTGTTTAACCTGCTCATGCACATGGGCTGGTTCTGTGAACAAGATGAGGCCAAGCTGGGACTTGTCAATGGGATCTCTGTGGTTTAAGCCTTGGAGAAGCCCCAGAAACATTAACAAGAGTGTGCTAGCACAGCACCACGTTCTCCTCCTCCAGACCCATCTTTATTAGGGGCATTAGTCACGATTAGACAGCAACACTCCCAGCCACATTCACATGTCATGTGGTTCTCCCTAAAACACTGCCCTGATAGATGGCCACATTCCCATTTCCTCCATCCCAATGTAGTTTGTGCTTTGTCTGGATTAAGGTGATTTCCAGTTAGAGCCACTTCAGTGGCAACAACCGAGTGTGAACAGAGACAGCATCGACAGCATTTCCATCATCCCATGTTAACAGCAAAACAAAACCAGCAGAAGACCAACAGGCTTGAGGTGTGAATATCTGCATCTGGATCTGGAACAGACAGGCAACATCTTCACAACAAGGTCTTGGAGATAGAACCAACCATCTGCACTGCAGGGAACCGATGAGCAGCACCCCGTGGTGTTGAGAGGCTTCAGAGCCTGGCAGTGTTTGCATGGAGGCTTTGAGCACAACTCACTGGGTGGAAATGAGAACTGGCTGTGCAATTCCCTATCCCAGCCAATGACAATGCCTCTTATCCCAAAGGAGCTGGCACATGGCATCTGCCTTCCATGCCAGCAGTGGGACCTGAAGGGCCTTTGTGCAGCACAGAAGCCAGCAGATGAAGCTGTGTTTTGGCCACTTGGCCCAAGGCTCAAAAGCTCCCTTCTTTCCACAGCTCCATCCCCACACTCCAACCCCATTAGGAACCTACAAAGGCTCAGTTCACAGACCGAGGCCTTTGAGGGATGAAAAGCAGGGAGATAATCGAGGTCATTTATCCCATGAGCCCTCCAGGTCATGCTAAACACAAAGGACATTGATCAACCCCCATTTCCTTCCCATTTTCTCCTCTTAAAGCTTGCGTCAGCTCTGCAGCTCCAAACTGGGCAGCACAACTGGCCTGCACAGCAGCAGCATCCATTGAAGTGTGTCCTCCACATGCTGGCTCGTGAAATAAAGCACAAAGGAGATGCCCAAAGCGCTCAGCTGCCCTGTGCTGCAGGGCATGGCTACTTCCATCAGACACACAGCTCTCTCATAGGGATGCAGCACTATTTAAGAGCAGAACCTGGCTGTTTTGGCAGGGTCAGCAGTTACACAAATGACAGTTGCCTCCATTCCAAGTCAAGCTTCTCTGAACTATTAGTACAACTCCTTTGCTAAATATCCAGGAGGGTTTCTTAATCCAAAGTATTCCAGCTTGTGAATGTGTATCCCTATGCAGATGACCAGTGCAGACCCAGTCTGCTCTTATTCACAAGCACAGTCAGTAAGAGAAGGACCCACGAAATACCCAAACAGACCCTTTTTTGTCACCAAAAGTAATAGAACCACTTTAAATGTCAAAAGTACCTTTGACTGTTGCATCCCCGAAAGTCTTTCTTGGTCATGTGTGTTTCCTGCCTGCGTCAGACACACAAAGCCTGGAACTTTATAGATATGAGCCCATTGATAAGCTGCAAAAAGCAACCCAAAACCACCCCAAAGACTCTCTGTGGAAAAACCAAGCTGATTCTCCCACAGGGTTTAGAAACTCTGCTGTTTGCTTTCAATTAAATGAGAGTTTGAGCTCAGAGAAAACTCACCATCCACCAATACAACACAACAGAACAGACATTGGCCTGTGCTTTCAGAGACACAGCCAACGGAATTCCAGAGATTAGGCATGGAGTTTGAATTCCTCATTCCCAGCTCCTAGGCTGAAGCTGCCTTCTGCAGCCCTACTGCTCACTTACGGTGTTAGAAGCTCCAGAAGGTGCTTATGGAATGACCAAGGACATCCAACCACTCAGTGATCTCACACATTGGCCCTGCTTCCTACAGAGCATTTAAGCTTTTTGCATTCCCAAAGGTGCTTCCTGCTCCATAGACACCCAGCCTTTTGCCCCGGGAAGGGGTGTGAAGCACAAGGATGCTGTCAGACTCCTCTGCCTTGCTGAACATGAGCACAAGTGAGCCAAAGGCATCCATCCATTAGTGTTACATCTCTAAATGAACCATCTGCCTCCAAACAAACTCAAGCCACTCAGGACAGCAATAAGACATCCCAAGAAGGAGCATGTTTAGAAGAAGAAGGAGCTGAGTTTGGCTCATGACAAGCTGCCAGCAGTTTGGATGCAGAGCTGAGGCTGTTTTGAAGACCAGGACAAGCATCATCCCTTCATTAACTGTATCATGTCCTCTCCATGTGATTTGTCTCCTAAGAGTGAGAAAACAAAGCCCTGTGAAGACTTGTTGCTGTAACGGTGAAGACTGAAGAGTGCACAGAGGGGAAGAAAGAAATAAAGGGGAAACAGCCACAGAGGATTATGGAAACATCATAACTTCACTATTATTTCCTTGCCTCTCTTTAGGGACACGTATCTGGACTCACACCAGCACACGGTCACTTGCTGTGTGGTCTGGTCAGCCAGAACTCCATTGCCTGCTTTCTGCTCAGCCCACATCCTCTCTGTAATTAAAAGGAGCTGCATTTCCTCTCACTGCTGTTCAAAAAGCCTTGAAGAAGCTGAAAGGGGGGTTGAAAGGAGGAGGAAAAGGTTTTGGTTGTTTTCCTAAAGGTACTTTCTTCTCCTCACACGTCTGGTTTAGGTACTTTTTCAAAGACATCTGTGGTGTTTCCTTTGAAAACCTTTTATTTCTCAGAAAGGGGAAAAATATATAGATCTGGCCAGTTGAGAGATAAAATAAAGCTCTTTCAGGATATCATTCTAGGTGAGAATAATAACACATTGTTCCATCTGTGTGTGTAATGTAGCAGGGAAAAGGCAAGGACATAGGGGAAAGACAGCAGCCCAAGCTTTCAGCTTTCACAGCACAAAGCTACTCATTCTCTACTCTATTAGGTGTTGCAGCTCTAACTCCCAAGGACATTTATGCACATGTTTTTGCCATCATCAGTGGGAGAAGAGCATATCATCAGATGAAGTATAAGCAAAACTGCTCTACCTAACCAGTGACCATGTCCAGGTAAGTTTTCCAGAGCCAAGACTATATTCCAAACCACGAAATGAAGATGCGACGAGCCAGGAAGGAGCAAGGACTTGCAGGTTAAAGTAGTGAATGAAAGAATTCTTTCCTAATCTTCAATTCATGATGCTTCAAAGCTCAACACGTTGCTCGTGTGTCATGTTTAATGTGCTTTCCTGGAAGCATGGTATGTGTCAGAACTCTGGTTTCCACTGTTACAATCAGCCACTGGGTTGTGGTGGGTATTGCTCAATACCGGCCTCACATTACTGCAGGGCATCATTGATGCATTCAGGGCATGATTTGGCTTGATCTTATGGCTAAAACAATACTGTTGTTAAACATTTACTGCAACACAATGGTCTCCCTGCAGTACGAAGTGCTCCAACCCCCCTCTGATAACCTGACACTCCTTTCCTCCCTATCTCTGCTTTCTGCCATGGAGAGAGCAGAAAGGGGTAAAGAAATAAAGGCGATAATAGAACCATAGAATCAATGAGGTTGGAAAACTGCACAGGAGCCGTTCCATGGGATGCCCAGTTGGGGATGGACCAGCAAAGGTGGAAGAGGACAACCCACAACAGCAGAAACACACATCACCTTTGGCTGAGGAACAAAGGCAGAGCTAAGGGAAGAACACTGACCCCACAGCACAAGGCACCAGTGCAGCAACGCAGGAGTGGGATGTGGCTCTCCACCAAAGCCATTCACCCTGCTATTGCAGGGTAATCATGCTGCTTGCTGGGTATCTCTCCACATCAGGACACTGCAGCAGAGCCATAACATGCATCCGCTTGCACATGCAAGGCCAAGCTCGTGCTGTCAGTGCTTCACTTTACCATCAGACAACAGCCTGATTCCCAAAGCTACACTAAGAGAGATGCTGAGCTCACATGAAGATAAACCCAGTGTTACATGTATTGCCTTGCTCAAGGCAGCTCTCTCTGAGTTGATTTTCCATCCTCATTAGAAGCACTTGCTGCCTCTCTCATTAACTCACAGCCACTTCTGATGGCAACATTACTGGGGAGCTAGTGAGGTCAGACCCAAACGCTCCCATGCAGCCAACGCATGGGAAAAGATGGAGTTTTCCCCTTCTGTTCTGTTGCTCCACAGCGTGAGAAGCTGTGGTCAGTCAGAGCCAAAGAGAGGCAAAGGATGTATTGCCCAACACAAAAAGAAGCATTCAAGAAGGTAACGGAGCTGCAAACCCTCCCTCTTGCTGAGAGATGACTGCATTTGGCAGGGAGGGCAGCGAGAGCGCAGCTCCAAGAGTGGGGACAATGGTAAAGGGGAAGGAATAAGGCTGAGGAGGGTTTCACCTCAGTGCTTAAGGCAGCAAGAAGAGGATAAAGCCTCACTGGAGCTGGTTGTCATCACCACACTGCTCTAACCAGCCATGAGAGGTGCATGGGGAGGGATAAAGGCTCAAGCCATGCTGGAATTGCTTATGTCCTGTTAGGTTCCATGCCCTGCCAGGAGGAAACACTGTCCCCATTCTGTCCTTTGCACAAGGTTTCTCTAAACACAGCCTTGGTCAAAGGATTTACAAACTCACTGGAGTCTCCTAAACAAAATGAGGGTTGTTTGAACTCAACAGAAGCCACCACAAAAACAAGGTCTGTGCTACATGTGCCTGGAGAAACCTTTGCTATTTCCCTGCGTGAAAGGTTCATGTTGAATCCAACACCTGCTCCTTTTATCATGGAGTCAATGCTACCTTTTGCCTCTTTAGTTCACCTTCAGAGAGTTCTACCCAGCACATCTGCCCCACAGCATCACAAGGGCTACAGTCCCAAAGACAGTTTCCCTTTCTGCAACTGCCCTTGATCCCAAAGAGCTCGGGAGCACTTTCAAGATTATGCATGATGCTGTCTGACACAGCCACCCTGAGGCTGCTCAGCAAGCTCATCCTCTTACAGAGGTGCTCCTGGGATCCCTTACAGGCACAGAAAACAAGGCTCTCCTGCAGGCAGCTACATTTAGTTCCTTTGAAATTGGAGAGAGATGATTCATTCCTGTTGGGATTGAATGTATCTCCACAAAAAACAAGTGGGTTTCTTATCTACCTTCCTTTGGCAACGCATCCATAAGCACAGAGCTGACCCTGGCAGCACAGGGATGAAAAACCAGGGGGAAGCAGTGAGCAGCTTTTAGCACATCCTCTGCAACAGGGAGAGTTCCAACACCCTTTCACATCAAGCGGTACCACGTCTCTGTGCAGCTCCTCTCCCCTTGCACATCATCCATCAGAGCAGGGTGTGCTGGAGCACCCAGGCCAGCCCCTTCCCCTGTGCTTACCTGACAGAGAGAGTGAAGTCTCCTGGGTTGCTCTTACTGGGTCGAGCCAGAAAGCTGCCATGGACACCCCTGGTCAGGAGCAGCTTCTCAGCCTCAATTCCACTGATGTTGGGATGAAACCACCTGCAAAGCGCAAATGTGACATTGAAATGGGGTTTATACAGAATCACAGATCGGTTTAGGTTGGAAAGGACCTTAAGGTCATCCAGTTCCAACCCCCCTGGCATGGGCAGATGCTCTCTTCCCACCCATGAGGCAGGAGCAGAACCCCAATAACCCCCACCATGGCCAGTAGCAGCTTTCACTCAGAAACCCCCTCCATTCGGGTGTTACATCGGATGAAGTCTTCCCAGACAACCCCCAAAAGAGGTCTCTTTTCCAAAGGACTCTGTTCTCCTCTCCCTCAGGGCAGGCAAAAGCTGCAGCACAGGCAGAAGATTCCCTCTCTGGAGGGAACCACTGGCTGAGAAAACAGCTTGGATTGTCCTAGTCCCAGCTGTGATCCTGGCTGGCTGCTTCCACCCAGCACCTTCCAGGCTCAGACCCTTTGGGCTGTCACATCACTGGCAAATGAGGTAGGCCCAAGACCTGCATCCCTGAGGGCACTTAAAGCCTTTCTTTAAGGGTTTCCCAGCGTGCTTCATGACAGAGAAAAGCAGAAAAAGCTCCAATATCAGTGGCACTAAACCTCTTGTTGTCCCCAGCAAGAACACAAGCGTCAAGTCTTTGGTGTCTCCCATTTGTTACAACAAGAGGATGCTCAGTGCTGGAGAGAAGAAAGTCGTAACTCAAGCCATGGAGCTGCAGCCACCTTTCCCAAGAGACCCCAACCCACAACTGCTGTGTCAAAAGCAAACCAGGGTGCCCAGAGGAGCTGTGGCTGCCCCATCCCTGGCAGTGTTCAAGGGCAGGTTGGACACAGGGGCTTGGAGCAACGTGCTCTAGTGGAAGGGGTCCCTGCCCGTGGCAGGGGTTGGAGCTGGAGGAGCTTTAAGGTCCCTTCAATCCAAACCAGGCTGGGATTCTCCTCACAGGACCAGCACATGGCCACAAAGCAAAGGAAACGCTGCTTCGGATGCAGCACTGTTGGTGAACAGAACACAGCAGGAAAGGGAATAAGAGACAGCTCACCCTAAGGGGAAAAGTGCTTCATCGTATTGTGTGCTGCTTTAGTGCAATCTTTGTATTTTAAGTGTCGTTTCTGATGCAATCAGTCTTGATCAAGCCTTTTTGATGGAATCACAAGAACTGGTGTTTCCCCAGGCTTTAAGGCACATTCAGTGCACACCAGACCGATGATTTCCCACGTGGCACCAGCTTTATGGCTTCGTTCTATAGAAGCCACTGAAACTCCACTTTCTAAATGCCAGGCTCTTCTGAGTGATCTCAAGGCACACAAATAGCACCCAAACCAAGCCACTCGGCTCTGAAAGCATTGCTCAGCTTTAGATCATGCTCCTGCAGACGTTTCTGCACGGATGCTGTCATATTTTCCATGAGAAAAGAGGAGAAGATGAACCACAACTAACACTTAATAGAGTGTTTCTGGGCAGCACCAACTGCAAAAGAATAGGCTGCACACTCAAATGTCCCCTTTGAGTAAAGGATGATGGTGCAGGAGCTCCTGCACTCAATGCTGCAGCTTTCCAAGCCAAATGGGTTCTCAAAGCAGCTTATCTGGACACATTTAGGAAGCTAGTTCCTTGTACGCTGCTGTCTGTGGACCAGATTAGCAAATACAGTGTCCTCCCAAAGGGTTTGCAAGTTCATCTCAATCACTGCAGAGAAATGCACCACCTCGGATCTCACGTTAGGAAATACACCCAAAGACTCAAGCTACAAACATAAGCGCACACACACTCATTAGTGTGTTTGTCCCCGAGGTACACATCGAAAAGGGCAAGAAATGTCACCATGTCTCCACAATTTGGGATTTCCTGCCTCCCACCACAAACCAAACAGTTTTGATTAAAGAGCCTTGAATTCTGGAGGAGAAGGAGAGGGCTATTAGGGAAGAGCCATGGAAACAGATGGTAAACAGGAATCCCAGCGTTTCCAAGCCTTGTATTCCTGACATCACAAGAGTGACACCCGTTCCTTAATCCACTCTCTGCAGGGCCAGCACTTATCTGTGCCACAAAACTGCTACTAGCATGGGAATGAATGCTCCTAATGGAGCTTAATGGAGTTCAGGGACAAGATGAAGCTGCCAAAGGCCACATGTGATGCTTCCACTGAATGCCTAATGGCAATAAAGCCAGCACAATAGTCCTAGCCAGAAGGCAGCAGGAAATGTAAGATTACCTCTGGTATAACAGTGGGATGGGGCTTTTGCAGCATGTGCCCACAGCTGTGAGCACACACTGGTTCTGAGAACCCCAGCCTGGTTTGGGTTCAAAGGATCTTAAAGCTCCTCCAGCTCCAACCCCTGCCACAGGCAGGGACACCTTCCACTAGAGCAGGTTGCTCCAAGCCCCTGTGTCCAACCTGGCCTTGAACACTGCCAGGGATGGGGCAGCCACAGCTTCTCTGGGCACCCTGTGCCAGCGCCTCAGCACCCTCACAGGGAAAAGCTTCTGCCTCAGAGCTCATCTCAATCTCCCCTCTGGCAGGTTCAAGCCATTCCCCTTGTCCTGTCCCTACAGGCCCTTGTCCAAAGCCCCTCTCCAGGTTTCTTGTAGCCCATTTAGGCTTAAACTCTGCGAACACCCAAGAGCAGGACAGCACTGCAGAAGAGACAGGGAAGGAGACTATCAGGGGTAAATTTGGGGCTCTGTTAACTTTGATGTTGCCTTCTGTGTCACAGAAACATAAATGCTGAATGCCCTTTTCTTTAATGCCTCCCACTGCTTGGACAGGAACCAAATCACACACGTACACACAAACAGCTTGTTCTTTAGCTTGCAAGAAGCACAAACAACACGCCAAGGAGAAAACCCTCACAAACAGAGGAGGGAGGAAAGGCAGTATCCAAATGCAGCAGCAGGGAAAAGAAGAAAGGGAGGCAGGGAAAAGGCCCTCTGCAAGTGTAGGCACCTCTCCCATGGCTTTCCAGAACAAAGGAAAGCTCATCTTTGGAGGGCTGCATATGGACAGGAACATATTGCTTGGCACTACCACACACGGGCTGCTTGCTTGAGCCAAGGAAGACACTTCAGGTCTGTGGCACAAAAGGGGTATTGTCAAATTCAAGGTCACATCCATGTGGGAATTCTGGTCCTGAAATTGAGCACTTGCTCCCCAGAGGCTTTTCTGCCTGGACTACCCGGGGTTCCACAAAACCCAGGAGGTTTTGCAGTGCACATCCTCAACCCCTTGTGTAGACTCAAACCCACGTCTCCCACTTGCAGGGTGTTCTACGCACCTATTCCCAGCTCCCTCCCCATTCCCATGGAATATAAAGACCAATGGCAAAACCAGCCAAACCTGAATTTAAGGCTCGCTGATTCGTGATGGTTGCCCCATCCTGCTTAAAATACACCATGAGCTGCCTGCTTTAAGGCTCTTCTCTGCCACTTCATCCTGGGGGTGAAGGCTCAGTGCTGTGATCACTGCACAGCCCCAGGTGCTCTTCTCAACAGCTTGTATTTCCCCTGGCCCGGAGCAAGCTGTACTTGCAGAAAGCCTCTCTTAGAGCTGTTTTTCATGATGCTTTTTACTGGAGTACATTTGTTGGTAAGCAAAACCAACCCACAACAGAGCAGGCAAGAAGAAAGCACCAACCCACACATCTCGCACTAAATGGCAACGCTAAAACCTGCAAACAGCCTCCGACAGCCCCACAGGCTGCATCAGAAAAGCAAGCACCACTCGCTTGCAGGGGAGCACTGGGCTATATACAAGGTGCTTATAGGAAGATCTGCAATATTCCAAGAAAGAGGAACCTGGCAGTGTTCAAGGCAAGGCTGGATGGGGCTTGGAGAAACCTGGTCTAGTGGGAACTGTTGGCAGGGGGTTGGAACTGGATGAGCTTTAAGGTCTCTTCCAACACAAACTATTCCATGATTCTACGTAACTAGATCTGCAGCACAAGGGAAGGAAAAGTGTATTATTAATATCATCATTTGGATGTCAGCAAGTGACAAACATCATTGTGCCGTGGCTCGCTGAGGCAACCACTCAACTGTTGGTGCTTGTGGCAGAACTGAGTCACACCTAGAGAATTGCTTTCAATAAGAGTGGGGAATCGAACAACTTTTCATCTCTACGAGTAAACCCGCACCGTGTCCCTCAGGCAATGCTGCTTCCCTGCAGCGCAGCGTGCTTCCCTGCCATCCCAAATCAAACTGAAATTAAAAAGCCACCTGCAAGTGCTCTACAGGAGCCAAGGCTACACAAAGAAATTGGTTTAAATCAACAGAGAGACGATGGAGAGACTGGCATTGCAGTGCTAAGTCCCCAGCTCAACTGAGGAGGACAGTGCTGGTAGGGACCTGGTGTTGAGGTCAGAAGCAGAAAGGTCTGGTGGCCATGAGAACACCAGAAAGCCCATTATGAGAAACCTGCCACCCATAAAGGTGCCCTGGGGGTCACCAAAGTGACTCCTCCTTGTGGAGAGCCCCTCAAGACCATCTGCAGCTCTGAACTCCTCACGCTGTATCAGCTCTTCACCAGCTCTCGCATCCCTGTGCTCCCCATGGCATCAAAGCCTCAAACACACCAAGGCACAGCCCTATTCAAGCACTCGGGGTCCAGCACAAGCAAATCTGGGCACAGGTCAGACAAAGGCAGATTGGTTTCTCCATCTAGGAGCTACCCACTTACACCAAAGGTAGATGCCGTTCACCCCCCATCCAAGCACTATGATAAACTCTGACTGATGCAATGGCCATAGACTCCTCCTAAACCTGTGGGTACCACGCAATGGTGGTGGCACAGCTCCCCAAGCCCAGGTAAATCCCATACAGGGGTCTCTGGCTTCAAAACAGGCCCTTGAATGGGAACAACAATCCAGCAGGAGCTCTGGAAAAGGAAACCTTTCTCCATGTCAAAAGTTATTCAATCATTTCTCTTTAATTACTAAAGAGTCATCGCTTCCATACGGGATTACTCATTTCCTCCCTAACATGAGATCTTCTGCTGGAATGCATCCTTGTGCACCCTGTCTTGGGATAAAACAGAAC